AAGGCTCAAAGGGGCCCTGGGCTAAGCACAGACTGACCACTTAAGGCACCAAAAGTGTCTCCGCATCTCACCCTTGTATTTTCTACCCTACTCCTAAGGCAGCCTGTTGGCTGACCAGCCCTTGTCCTCTTGAGCCGCTGACAGAGTTTCATAGTGAGCGTTAAGTTGGATCACCTACAAAGGCTCCCTGGATCCTCTGGTCCTATCAAACACTGACACTGCTTTTCACCATCAACTCTGATGGTTTGGACACATAGACATGGACCATAGGAGAATATTCAAACGGCTGCTGCAAGGTGAGCTGAGGCAGGTAGCTGCCAGCATTTGGCTGAGAGGGAAGCAGAATTTATGGGCACCCTTCAGCTGAGCCTTGTGCTGAGCAAACATGGTTGCAGAATGCTTGGGGATGGGGCCAACAGAAAGCCAGGGCTCTAGGACAGCAGTGGCTCTTTTTGAGCAAAGAGAGAGAAGCGGAGACAGGGCCAGGGACAGAGACAGGCTCAGGACAGGGCAACTGATCAGCAATCCAAAGGTGAGCATCCCATGTACTCTCTCCACACCCACGTGGAGAGCACGCAAAATCTGCCAAACTGCACAGTGACCGTGTGTCTGCAAACATTATGGACTGCACTTATTCTCAAACAGATTTAGCAAACTCCCAGAAACAGAATAAACCCCTAGAATAAATCAGGGCAGGGAAAGGATCCTATCTATGCATCTGTCCTGGCTTCAATAGCTTCCCTCAATATTCATATCCACCAGAGCCTCAGAATGTGACCTGATTTGGAGATAGAGTCTTTGCCTTTGTAATTTGTTAGGATGAGGTCATACTGGATTAGGGTGAGCCCTAAATCTAATATGACTGGTGTCCTTATACTGGTCTGTGCTGAACACACAGAACAGGGTAGAAGGATATGTGACTAAGAAGGCAGAGACTAGAGTGATGCAGCTACAAGCCAAGGAATGCCACGGATTTCCAGCAAATACCAGAAGTTTCAAGGGACCTTGCACTGCTGACATTTTGATTTTGGACTTGTAGCCTACAAAACTGTGAGCAAATAAATTTCTGTTATTTTAAGCCACCCAGTTTGTAGTAATTTGTTACAGCAGCCATAGGAAACTAATACAGCGTCTATCTAACTTAGCTAGTTCCAAATATACCTCTGCATAGCTGTTCATTCACAAACTGCTAATAAGTACCAACTATGTGCTAGATATTCTTCTAGCAATGCACAAAAACATAGAAAAACCTCTGCCTCCATGGACTTATATCTTAAGTAAAACAAGACAGAAAATAATCAATGTTAGGAAATAAAATATGGAGTCTGTCAAATGGTAATAAGTTCAGGAAGGGGCCCTACCAAGTGAGGTGGGGTACTGACTACATGCAATAGTTTTGCATCTGAAGAAATTGAACACTCTCAGTAAATTTTGATGCAGACAGTGAGCCTTGTAGCCTAGTACTGTCATTCTTGTGAAAAATGAGACAACATGTAAGGGAGATAAGAGCCTCTATCATATCAGAGTTTCTGCTCTAAAAGCAGGAAAATCATCAGCCATAAAGCTTATTGTGAAGGGAAAAGAATCTACATTAGCAAAAACCATTAAGACTGATAGGAGGATCCCCAAGGATTTCCCTACTGATACACACTAGTTGGATGATTTGTAAATGAATCCAGCCATTTACCATCCAACAAATGCCACAGAGTTTGTAAAAGAAGCAAAGGGAGGTGCTGGACAAAACTTTTATCACCCAGGAGTCTTGTTAAATTATCCTTCCAGCAAAAGAGAGCTTAAGAGAACATTCTGCAATGAAGGACATGTTCTGTCTACACTGTCTGATACAGTGACCACTGCGATTATTAAGCACTTGAAATGTGACTGGTAAGACTGAAAATGCAAATTTTTAATTTAATTTAATTTTGATTAACTTAAATCCTCTCAGGTGGCTGGCAGCCACTCTACGGGACTTCTGGAAGCACAGAAGGCTGGCCGTGGAGGAAGGCCTGGAGACTCACAAGTCTGAGGTTAGACCAGCTCCGTAATTACAACCAGGCTGCGGGCCTACGGAGCATGCACCACTGTTAACGTAGTATTTCTAGGACAAAATTATTACCTCAATCCCCTCAGCGTCTTTATCGGTGGTCAGTAGTATCACCCCCATTTGCTGAATAAAGAAATCAAAGCTCAGTAAGATTATTCGATTTGTTTGGAGCCTCACAGCTTTTAAGAGATTAGGATTTAGCTTTGACACCAAAATCCATACTCTATCCACCAAGGCACGTCACCTGTGGCACCTTTCACTCTGGTGATTTCTTCCATTCCCATCCTCTGTGAACACTCTAAAACACAACAGTGTGTGTGCCCATGTGTGCGCTTGTCTGAGTAGATTGTGAGGAACAGGTGAGTCTGGGGGAGGGGGGCCCTTGAGTGCTCAGTGCGTGTCTAGTATTCTATACAGGTCAGTGTCCTTTAGTCAACCTGCCCCATTAGCCACTTGGTCAGACATAGTCCAATGCCAAGAACAGGGACGGAGCAAGCAGAACCCATGAATGCATAGTTGGAGACCAAATCACGAGGGCAGCAGCGGTGCGTTAAAGAAACCTTTCTCCCTTGGACACCTTCAGCAATAAGTCTCTATCACAGCTTTCCTGGTCATCAGGGAGCTCCCATTCCCCCCGCAGCAGGGACACTCAGAAACCCTGAGGCCACAGGTCTTCCCGTGGAGGGAAGCTGGAGGTAAGGGAGAGGGAAATAATCAACAGAATACCTCACTAACAGGGCGGAGTTCTGAAATACAGGTTTCAGAGAGCCGCGTGGCTAACTCTCTGGAGATCCGCAGCTGTGAGGCTTCCCCTACAGCTTCCTGTTTGCCCCCAACAATAGAAAGGGGCCGAGGAGGGCCATCAAGTTACTATGCGCTGAAACCCAGATGAGGCCATGGTGGGAAACAGGGTCTCCCCAAACAACAACACAGCTGCTTCGTGCTGGAGACACTGGTCCTTCTGTGCTATTGCTATTGCTATTAGGATTTCTGCAGCATTAAGAGGAAGGTTTCTGATGTGATTAATTTTGTATCTTTTAAAAAAGCTTCACTATGCCTGGAAATGTACTTGGTGAGATTAATAGACTAATCCTTGTCTCTTTAGCCTCCTGGAAGGTTAACAGAGTCTTTCATCATTGGACTGTAATCCTATTCTGCAAGGAACCTTCTGGGAAGAGCCCCCTTCCCCTAAATACAGCTTTCCAGCATCTTGAGGTTTTGAGGTTTATGTGATTCCACACCCAAATAACTCTAAAAATAGTTCACCCTGGTGCAGCTCCCAGAGATCCGGAAAGGATTCTATGGAAACCCCACTGCCCAACCCAACGTTGGCACTTGTCTGGGCAGGCAGCTAGTCCAGCTTCTTTACCCCCAGGAACCTGGTTTCAGGGGCTGATTTTCAGTGTCATTTCACACACACAAAAAACTGCTGGCACGCAATAATACAAACAAGCTAGTGAATATTACTGTGACTGTGACAAAAATTGATTTTGAAACTTTAAAAAAAACACATTGTTTTTTTCGCATTCTCTCTGGGTTATGCCAAAAATTAATGTTTTGCATCATCGTCCATTTCAACACCTTCAGCTAAAATGCCTGTCTTTGGATAACGATAACCGTTAAGTCCTGACTTCGCTCCCTTTCTGGTAGCAGTTGGGCATTCCTTTACAAAGTTGGCTTCCATCAGTACATTACAAAAACAAAAAACAGAAGTAGTCATACAGGAGCTGGACGTCGCAGTGCCTTGTTCTCAGAAGTTCCCCGGGGAAGGAGAGCACCACTTAATGAACTGCAGGGGCAGATTCCCTGGGAATTGCCCGGCAGCTTCCCTGACAATCTTCCAACTGCAAGCGCCCGGGGTTGGGTCCCGGGAATTACAAGCCGCGCAAAAAGCGCCTGCACCGCCATCCACCGGCCCCAGCGGGAGGCACCAGGAGGGAGCGGTGGATCAGTCCCAGCAGGATCCCGCACACCGTCTCTCTCCGACCCGCGCAGCCCTCAGTCCCTACAGCACACAGCGGTCACCAGTCCCTCCTGACTGTGCAGCCCGGACCTTTCTGACACTAAAGAAAGCAGCTGCAAATTAGAACCAGCTCCTGGGGCTTCAGGGCAGTGAGGACCATCCGTGGAGTTACTCCCTACCTTTCCTCTCCCGAAGGAGACAGTCGCTTCCCAGGACAAGGAGCCCGCCAAACCCAGAGCAGCTCAAATCTGCGCCCTCCGGCGGCCGGCGCCCGGCGTGCGCTTAGGCAGGTACGCGCTGGAAACAAAGTTTGCGCGCAGGGGACGCAGGAATTTCCGGGTCCCTGCAAATGGAACTGGTTCTGAGATGCCAACACTCAGAATGAATGGTCCGGTGATCTCTGGGTACCAGCTGGTCATAGGGAAAGGGAGGGCCAGTCCTGGCTCTAAAAGGGACTAGACCGAGGCGCGCGCAATGGCTGAAGGAGGCTTAAGCCCGGGGCAGGCAAGGTTGCTGCGCAGTCCTCCCAGATGCCGGGCGCAGGCAGCGCGGCCCGCAGAGAGGAAGCCGGGGGCCGGGGTGGGGGGTGGGTCCCCGCGGGGCTGCCTCCCCCAGCTCCAGCTCCTTTTGCATTTTCCCCAGGCGCCCGCGCTCGGACAGTCCACCTGAGGCGTGGAGGATGCAGGGTGACGGAGGGACTCTGCAGGAGACCTGCCATCGCGCCTGCTACGGAGAGCGGGGTCTCCGGACCAACTGGACTTGAACACTTAAGAAAACCCTGCCCGTGGCCCTGGGAGGATCCGGGACACTAGGCTACCCAGAAGGAAGACGTGAGCACTGGGACTGGTTGCAGGACGCCCAGCACAGGGCTGGGAAAGAAGGTGGAAAGTAGAGGGAGGAGGGAGCACAAGCAAGAGGGGTTAATCCTGAATTCATCTGGACTGAAAGGTCCTCCGACCTGTTTGCCCGCAGAGCGGGATTCGTGGGTCTTACCCGCTTCCGGGCCCCGGCTCCGCGGTAGCGCTCGTCGGGAGCGAGGGCAGGGGACTGTTTCATGGAGAACATGTCTCGCTTTTTCCTCTGTCCACTCTTATCTTGGTCGCTTTTCTCTCCTCTGCGTGCCCCTGGAGGGGAACTACGGGTGCCTTGCTCCTCACTCAGAGCAAGAGACTGGTCGAACTTCAAGGGACCGGGGCCCCACATTTTGTCTGATCAACAGATCCCACCCGCGGACCACTCCCTCTTCATTCCTGTCTCTGGGTCCCACCCATAAGAACCCTTAATGACAGGTCCTCCGCAACCCCACCTCTTTGCATTCAAAAAAAGTTACTCTTCTGGGACAAACTCGAAGCCAAGTCAAATGCTGCCCCGCTCTCCCCTCCACCACCACCCCCCCTCCAATTTACACCTCCCAGTGGGAGCACGGAGAAGATGAGACCTGAAAGTTTGGCTGTAGGAGAAAGAATAATTGGGAGCAAAGGAGTTACTTCTGGGCTCTCCAAAACCTCCTTATCAGGTCCTAGACCCTTTCTTTTTAGCTAGAGCGTAGCTAAGTAAAAATCAAAATAACCGCACACACTGGCAATTAGAGGCTACGTTTAATGTTTCCAGGGCGAGCATTATTTGCATTAAGCAAATGGAAACTTGCCTTCTGTTATACGTTTAATGAAGACGCTGCGTTTGCAAGACTGCCTGTGAGACTTCACTGAGGCTCCAGGGAGGAGCGAGGACCCCAGCCTGCTGCTCCCACAAACCTGGTTCACGATTTCCTGCAGGGAGCACCCACGCGCTGAACCTCAGGAACCAATGGCTCTGTGCGGTTCTGTGTTCGCCCGCAGCCGCTCCCGCTCAGGCCGCGAAGGAGGGTTCTGCAGGTATTTACAGCAGGTAAAGGCTAGTTTTTCATTTGAAGCCCCAGACAGTTATCAAGATGTTTGGCAGACAAAGAAAAAGAAAAGAAAAACTCCTTGCGTTTTTCTTAGAATTTTTTTTTCATCCAACTTTAGTCAAGATCTAATGGAAATTGCAAAAATTACTCAGGAGGGTATTGAATAAATCCATCTCCATTATTCTGCAGGAGGCCATCATAATCAACAAAATATGTATCAGACACCTGTTCCTTGAATAATATAGGCAGGGGTAGGAGGGGTTTGCAAAATTTTTTTCTGAAATAGTAAGAAAGTAGAAAATATAGCACAGTAGATGAAACCGATTCCATCAGTGTTCAAAACATCAGATTTGAAATCCAGTATCTGACAAGTCTATCATAATTCACAAAAATTAAGCTCTTAGCTGCAGGCTCTGTATTAAACATTACATGTGCATTCTCTTAGTTCTACAGCCACTTTACGAGGTAGGTACTATCATTATTTTAGAGATGAAAACGATTGAGAGAGTCGAAGTAGCCAGCCCAGGTTTACACAGCCAGCAAGGGCCAGGCTGGGGTTCTCCGCAGCCAGTGTCGTCTCAGGGCTGCGTCCGCGTCCTGGTAAGATAGCGCCTCATCACAAGTCTCTGCCGCAGGGCAGCAGCCCGCACAGACCAAGAGACTAGGCGATTTGTCTGCCAGCTCTACCTTGACCAAATCATTGTCTCTCTGGGCCACAATTAGCTGATTATAAAATGAGGGCTGGATTCAATCCTCCGGGTTTCTACAGGCATTCTGAAGCCAAGGATACGGGTTTGTTTTTTTTTTCCATCTCGTTTCTCTTCCACGTTCTGCCCTCTGGTGGAGGTGCTACAGGAACTGTGAAATTCAAGTAGCTAAAAAGTGAATTTGAGACGGACAGGGGAGATAAGTCTGCCCCTCGACCCCAATACTATACTGTGTTCTGAGAACTAAAGTTGATTGCCTTGATGGTGTAAAAAAATCGTTCCTTAAACTTTCTTTTAGCAAGAAAACCCAACCAGTTCTAGTTACTAATGGCACCAGAGTGAACACGTGAGATACTCTTTTTCATGAGGATAAACAGCTCTTTTTATATGCTTTGAAACATTTATAATGTAATAAACCATAAAAATGTTTGAAGTCTCACAATAATCTCCAATGACCTATTTGAGTTAATCCTTTACAAAAAAAATTGCTGTATTTGCACTTCAACTTACAGCAACAACCGTCTAGTTTCTTGAAATACTTCAATTTTACAAAAAGAAACATTTTTTTGCTGTTGAAATTATCATCTAACATTTCAAATATAAATCCAACTAATGAGATGACTTAAAAGAAAAAAAGATTTATGGAAAAATTAATTGAAAGGTAGTGAATATACCTTGGGAAAGGGTGATTTTACAGATCAAACTTTGGTTACATATTACAGACCAATTCAGTGCTTAGTATTACAAACAAAGGTAATTTGAGAACAAGAAAGATCTTCGAGAAGCAGCCAGAATCCCAGGATGATAACAGGCAAGCAGTGGCTAACACAGATACGCTTCCCCATTGCTTAGCTATTCAGCAATTTGTTCTGATAATACTCACTGAGGATTTGCTGGCTTCCAGGTGAATAAAATAGAGCTCCTGCCCTCTCAGAACTTGTAGTCTAGTGGAATACATAAAGTAAACACACAAATGCATAAACTATGGAAAATACTTGCAAATAATGTAGGACTGGCTTTAAAGACTTAGAATGTGATTTTATTTTTTTAGCTGAAAATGCAAAGCCTTTAAAAAAATTTTTTTAAGCAAGAAACAAGTAAATTGTACATTTACTCTGATGCAGGGAGAAAAGTGTAATTAAAAGGTGAAGACAACATAACATCATAAGTAATTTATTCCAGCACACTTAAACATGGTAGAAGTAGCCCATGTAGATTTTCTGTTCGCTGTATGTAATACTTCTGGGACATCAATCCCCTACTCTAATATACTGGAATAGTGATAGGGAAGACAGTAATAAGAACTGGCCCATAAAGAGTTTCAAAGGAATTGTATTTTTAGTACCCTCACGCCCTGGGTGCTCGTTTCCCCCAGCACGGGGGCCGCATGCTGCACTTTGACTGCCAAAATGCCCCTGCCTTTGGCCAGCATCCTGCCTAGACTGGTCAGGAACAGTACCCCCTCCATGACAATGACCACATGAGCAAAACTGAGGTGCCTCAGTTCATAGCATTTTTCTTTTCTGACTACAAATAACTTTGTAAGAGAAGTGTTGAAGTTATGAAATTGTCACATTTATCTTCACTATTAAAGCTAAGCATTTCTCAGCACTATGTGCCAGGGACTTCACAAGTGGACCCATATATACTCTGTTCTTAATTGTTTAAACAAACCTAGTTTTCCTCTGTTGTAAAATGAGAATAATAATAAATCCACCTCATAGACTATCATGGGGATTATGTAAAGTGCTTTAAAGTAATTGCAGACACATAATAGCTAATACTATTGGGTGCTTACTGTTATTTCTCCTTGTTGGAGGCCAAGGCTTACAGAAATTAAATTGCCCCAGATCTCACAACTAGAAAATGGCAGAACCGATGGGGGAACTCAGGAGTTGAAAATGTTTGGTTTAAGGCAATAGCTAATCAACTTAGAAGTTAATACATGTAAAAAGCTATTGTTTCAGGAACTGAAGGACAGCCCAGCCTGACTCCTGGAGGCTACAGGAGGTTGACCTTTGTGCTCCAGAAAAGAGTAAGTAATCAAGATGCTATCCCAGTCATTGTGTTCCAGGGAGAGCAGCCTGCCAGGACCCAGATAAAGAAAATCGCCGAAGACACAGGACACAGATAAAGAAAATCACTGGTCAGCAGATGAAAGGATATTAGGGAAATTGCCCGACTGCAGCTTTTATCTGATTTAACTTTTTTCCTGAATTCCAAATCCCTTACCTATACTTTTTCCCCCTTATGACAAAGGCTGGTTTAAAAGGAAGTTTAAGTCGGTCTGTTGGGGTACATACCTGCAATCTTCTCAGGTTGTTGGCCATCTGAACGCAGCGCCCCTAAGGATTCACTCCCTGTCCCTGCTTACTGGTTTGGGTAGTGACAGGCAGCATGAACACCAACTTTTCCAGTTTCAGACCCATAACTGGAACCGAAGCAACCTATAGCTAACTCAACTGACCTCTACTGCCTGCAGCACACTTATTAAGACTAATGGAAAATGCCCAAGGAGTTTACAGTCTACGATTACACTGAATCCATCCATCATAGATTCACTGAGCACTGCTGGGGGTTGAATAGTGTCCCTCCCCCAAATAAATGTTCACCAGGAACCTAGGAATGTAATCTTCCTTATTTGGAAATAGGGTCTTTGCAGATGTAATTAACTAAAATGGGATGATACTGGAATAGAATGAACCCTAAGGACAAAGAAGATCTTTATTAGAGACAGAAAAGGACCCACAGAAACATGTGAAAATGGAGGCGAGATTGGAGTGATGTGCCTACAAGCGAAGAGACGCTTGAGGATTAACGCCCAAAACCAGAAGCTAGAAGAAAGGTAGGGAACAGCTTCTCCCTCAGAGTCTCCAGAAGGAACCAACACTGCTGACATTTTCATTGTGGACTTCTGGACTCTGAACTGCGAGAGAATTTCTGTTGTTTTGAGGCACACTGTGGCGTTTTGTTTTGGCAGCCCCAGGAAATGATCACCAGCATCTACTACGTGGCCAGACACAGTTCCCCACTGGAGTTAACGGCAGTAAACGAAACCGCACCCTGCCCTCCTGGCGCTTCTGTCCTAGTGAAACAGACAGACAATAAATAAACACACAATACAAGGACAGGTACTGTTTAGTGCTGTGAGGAAAAAGTGTTAGAGGAAGACAGGGAATAGCCAGCTGATTAGAGTAGTTAGGGAATGTCTCTCTAGAGACATTTTAACTAAATGAATTTGAACTGTGGAATTTCGGACTGTAGGTGGGTAATTCTTCACGGCACGGTTTTAATACATGCCCCCACATTCATTGGAAAGAAAACTAAGCAAGATTCTGAAATACATGAAAATGGTTTCCCAGATGGACACCTAGTCTGTCTTGTCCCTGAAGAGTTTTGAGAGAGCAGAGGGGTTCCTTGCTCCTCCCGCCCTTCTCAAGTTCACATCTCTTCTAGGAGGTAGCTATCAGTACTCTGCTTCTAATCTCCCTCCATGAAGCTCACCAACCTCACAGGCACACCCTAAGGCCCAAGGCTTAGGCAGGTCAAAACACTGCCACTCAATTAAAAGGGCAACTTCCACAGACCAAACAAGAGACATAGCGACCTTATGTCAACTCCAAGCTTCAGACCTTCGACATCTGTCTCAGGATGGGCAAATGTAACAACCGCTGGAGTCACCTGAGTCATTTGAAGTAACATAACAAGCCAAAAAAATCCTTACAGGTCATCTTTAAACACTACCAGACACTTACTTGTGCTTAAAATTTTTAACATTCATAGCTGTGAAGTGCAAGCACCAGACTTCTTTGAGAAAAGCATGTGTTCAATGTTTTTGTTCAATAAAGTTCCTTTGGCAATTTCAGCAAAGATCATACCAATTCATTTGGGATGATCTGAATTTCACTTGGACTTGAATAGTGAAATTAACTAAAATACAGACACTAGGTGTTGGCCAATCCCTAAAAGTGTTCAAACCAAAAAACTTTAAAGGTTTCAATATAAACATTCCACAAATTTCACATAGTAAGCTAATAAACTTTTATAATGACACAATAGGAAAAGAAGGCCGTCACAGTCACAACTTTATCTTTTCTTACTGGCTATTTGAAAACTTTTTCCATGCCTTCTCCAACTGGCTCAGATAGACACAAAAAGGACATGTATTGCTTTATTTCCCTCAGAACAAATTAATGTAAGTATTTACACCAAATTTAACTTCATTTTGACCTTACAAAAACACCTGTTTCATTCATTCCCCTTCTGCTCATTGTCCAGCGGTTTCTACAGCATCTTCAGGCCATTTGCTTCGGTCAGTGGGGACCCATGGGAACGGGAGGCACGGATCTTGGGATCTGAGCACCACCAGCACCTCCAGCCCAGATTGCTTCCCAACTCCTCTCCCTCCCTGCTCTTACGCTTGCTGCCTTAGTCCTCTCTCCACACAGCAGCCAGCCATATTTAAAAAACAAAAAATAACTATTCCCCATTTAAAACCCTTCCAATGCTGCCCACTGCGACCAGAATAAAATCCCAACCCCGTCCCACGCTGAAGCACCGCTGAACCAGCCCTAGACCTGCTCTCATCTCTAAACTCCGGCACAGCAGCCCTCCCGTTGCCCAGCCAGGCCAGGCGTCCCTCTAACAGGGGCTGTGTACTTGCTGCTTTCTCGCCCTCATAGACTCCCCGCCTCAGGTTTTCAGGGGAAGGTCACTGAGGTCACAGCTGGAATGAACCCATCCCAGAGGGACTGTCCCGATCTCAAGTAGCTAGTGCCCTTTCACCCCACTTTCACCACTTCCTGTATTATTTCTCTTATTTTTTAATACCATTCATTACACAGGGCATCATATTCATTTTTTCTCTCTTCCACTCCTGTAGCAGCTCCCCAAGCCCCGAGAGAAAGATCACTGTTGCCTCTGGCACCTAAAAAGTATCTGTCACAGGAGAAACACATCTATTGTTGAGTAAATGAATAAATAGTTGTGTGACTTTGGGCAAATTAAGCTCTGTGATAATAGCCAAGCAAATAAAAAACGGCAGTTTAATTTGTGTCATTCATTCAATTTCCTTCTGCTCACTAAATTCTTTCCCACACATGAGAAAGAAGACCTAGCAAGATCAGAAGACCAACAGACAGACATCAACGAGGCTTCAGGCTTGTTTTAATAGGCAAAGATTCTGACATACATGAAAACAGCTTTCCAAGCAGACACCAAGTTGTCCATATTCTTTAATACTCGTTTTAGAGCAGAGTAAGGTAATGGCCTGAGAGTAGCAGCTCTAATTTAGAGCTTCTGAAACACTAACCCAGCAATTCTATTACAGAGAAAGTTAAAAACAAAACAAAACTAAAACTAAAACTAAAAGCAAAACACAAAGCCCATAAAGAAAGGAATGAGTGCCCTTTAATTTTAGATACCAGCTAATAGTTGGTTAACAAGCCATGAAAAACAAAACAAAACAAAAACCCTGAGTTAAATTTAGCAAAATGTAAAAATCCTTCTTTGCATTTGTCTAAAACATATTTCTACCACTTTCTACTATCTAGCAATTACTATGTTTTACATCAAATTTGGGAGTTTTATATGTTGATACTAATACCTAAACTTAACCTACAGGCTCCTGAATATTTTAGATAATAGTAAATATGCTAGATTACAAATTTGGTATGAAAACCTTTAATGAAAACATTAATCATACAAAAATTAAATAACAAAACCATTTAAAATGACTTACAATTCAAACAGATTTGGCTTACTGATATTGCTTTATCAGCTTGTTTTCATAAGAACTAATTATTTCCAGATAAAATTTACTAATAGAAAAAATGAGAATAAAGTACATAAAACTCATAAGCCCTGTGCTCAGCACATAGTGCTCATAAATATTAGTTTTTCTTTTATAATTACTTTGAAAAGACACACACAAGTTTTACAAAACATGCCAACTTCAGTTGAAAGCTTCCTACACTAGAAATAGTCACATGTGAGGAATCTAGCTTGGCATATTTTGAAAACAATTATATTTTCCTCTGAGGAACACACTACATAAAAATTTATTTCAATAACTGATAAAAATTCCTAATTAATAAACCAATTTCTGGAATCTAATTATACAACTTCATGTTACAATTTAAGAGGTCTTTTAGAGAATCATTTTTTTAAAGTACGAAGTTACATGATGAAGAAAAGTACCTTTTAATAATAAGTAACCAAAACATTATGAAATATTCCTCTTACTGCACACATGGCTCAGTTTCATCTTAATTTTGGAAAAAAAAATTCTTGGTTTGAAATAGTAAATGAAACAACTATGTTAATACAAGGAAGCACAATGAACAACTAACATGTTACCTTGCTACTAACTGTGCCTTATGAAACAGTTTACAGGTTCAGTCATGCTTTTAATATCAAACAATGTTATACTGCCACTTCTCGTACATTAATTAAGATGAAGCTTAACATTCTATCCTTCTAACAACAGCTGGAAGAAAACTGTGAGATGGATGTGAATATGTATCATGTACAATAAATATACACTTGCTAATATTCCAAATTTAACAACTTATCTAAGTCCAATCTGAGGTATATTAACAGATAAAAAAATTTTAATTCACTCCATGAGCTATGTACCACGCAAACACTAAAACCACAATTGCACACACTGGAAGGAAATGATATTTGTACTTTTGCCATAGTGTTAGCTCAACTGCCACTTCATCTCTTTTCCTGTTCTTCTTCCGACGACCCTTCAGTCTGTTCTCAAAAGCCTCCAGTTCAGCCTAAATCAAAATAGTATTATTTTTATTAAAAGCAGTATATACATTAATTTGAAATTTTCCACTTAGGTGAAAATAAATCATTTTGGGGAATGTTTTAATAGTAATGATACATAATAAATATATTGATTTGATTTTTAAAAATTCTCTCTACTACTGATTGTATTCAACAAATTCAGAGCTCAGGAAAGTAGAAAGGAAAGTGGGGAGTGAAAGAAGAGTATTTCAGACTGTAAGGCCTGACTTTGACACTAAATACAGAAATGATTAAATCAGGGTGTCCTAAAACAGACATCAGTTTTATACTTCAACACCAAGAACCTACTGAGACTCTATAACACACAACTAACAACCATGCAAAGAAACACAAATCTAGTACTTTGTTCAGTTACCTGTTGTTTTCGTTTTTCCTCTTCTAGAGCAGCTTTGGCTTCTGCTTCTTTTATCTGTTTACAGACATTTAAAAGTAACATTATAACTGTCAAATTTTATATAGAATTTTAACATCTTCTCAGGGACACTCCACTAACCCATAGCAACTCTTGGAAGCTTTACACTGGAAATTACTTAAAGAAATGTAAACATTATAGTGAAAAGTGTTACCAAGGTCTGTCTAACAGTGTGGGGAGAGGTAAAATGTTACACCTTATATAAATAAACACTTTAACAACTATAACAGATATTAGATTGCAGTTCCAAGAAATGTAACAGTATACACTGAAATGCTTTTAAAAGTGGATTTTTTTCTCTCCAGTAACCTTAATAGAAGCTATGACCAAATTATTAAATACCGCTCTCTGGAGTTGAAATTCACCATTTACTTTAGATGTCTTGAAGGGAAACCTTAGTTTCAAACAAAATCAAGAGTTTATTCATTGACTGGGTTGAGTGAGGGAAACGGTAACACAGGAGGTAACCCAAACAGCAAGGAATCTGAAAACCTTATTTTTATATTATTTTAACCTGATTTTCGGGAGGCTTAAGCTAACATTACGATGAACGACCATGTCCCAGAGCACATGCACTAACGGGTTCAGAGGATGGAAAATCTGGTACATACTCGACCATAAAAGGCACCCCTGAGGATTCAAAGTGGGCCTATAAAACTAGGCTTTAATTACAAAAAAAGATTGCAAAAATGATGAGATTTCGAGTCATCCATAGTAAGCACATAAAAAATGCACAAAATAAACAGGGAAAGGCCACTGGCACATTAAAAACGGTATCGAACGTGACATTACCTCAGACGCTTTCCGCTTCATCTCCTTGCACGTTGCATCACATTCTATTGAAATCTGATTTTCACGTACTTTGCTGCACTGTAATTCCTACAAATAAAAATGTTCACATTTCAGACATAAGAGTTTTCCCTCAAAGTGCTAACTGTATGTCATAAGAAAGCAAAATTTCCCTAACAGCTTAAGGTTATGCAGAATATTTAACAGTCATGTCCGTTAATATTTAATAACAATATGGTTCCAAGTATCAAATTTCTTGGTCCAAAGAGTGATAATTACTTTATTTTTCCTTAATTACAAAAAAAAAAGCAAATACGATAAAATTAAAACCATCCATTTACTGAGTGCAACTATTGAGAAAACTTCAGTTTCTCTTGTTTCTTGTTCATCTTCTAAAGCTTCCAGGGAGTAAAATGTGCAGAGCAGGGCCACCCAGCTGCTTTCTGACCCCGGAAATATTCTCAGTCTGCCCTACCCAAGAGAGCAGCGCTAACCACAAATGGCTACCGAGCACTCAGGATGAGGCTAGTGAAATTGAGGAAATAAATGTTTAATATTATTTAATGTTAACTCATTAAAATTCAAACTTAAATAGCCATATGTGGCTAGTGGCTATCAATCCAGTGCAAGTCTAGAGACTTGCCTAAAGAGCTACAAATTTTTCTCTCAACTAGTAAACCTTTCTTAAGTTTAAATGAAAATCATCCTACAGTTTGTATTTGCACTTCACTGACTCCTTAATGAAATAAAAAAACTAATCTACTCTTTTCTCAGTGGCTTGATATCAATACTATAATCAATTTGTATGTTGTGCTATAATAAATCAAATGGTCCTTATTTTAAATAGTCTCAGAATGTGATTTTATAGATCTTTTATATACCTTTTATTCATTCCCTATTTCTTGCGGCCAAATGTCGCTTTTGCTCTAAATATACCTATTTGTATCAATTTCTCCTCTCTCATCACCACTCTCAGACTCTAGTTTTTTAGTTCAAATCTACAGAGTTAAGAAATAAGATCACCAATTGCTATGAACAAAGTGCATATGCTTTAGTGAAAGCACTTCGTAGAATGGAATTTTATCACTTAGAGGGTTTCTTCCCCCTTTACTGCTTCATTTTTGGCAGATGTTGGTGATAAACACAGTCTTGTCCTCTGAGGATAGTCCAAAAAAAGAAAATATATCATGAACAAATATTAGAGACAAAAATGTGCATTTATGGACATTAAGTCTATAAGCCTGAAAGAAGCATCATATCTTTGCTCATTCAAAAGGTACTTATAGAGTGCCCACTGCATGCCAAGTGCTGTGTTAGGGACAGTGGATATAATAATAAAAAGAGTATAATAATAAGTACTAAACTAGTAATAATAATAGCAGCTACTATTAGCAGCTACTGCTACATTGCTAAACATGGCAGTCATTGAGCTAAGTGCTATATAAGCATTACCTCTTTTATCCCTTTCAATAAATCTATGTATAAACTTTATTCCACAGATGAGAAAACAAGGTTGCAGACATGCCTAGAATCACAAAGCTCTTGAGAAAACTAGACCCAATTACAAAAGGAACAGGCGCCTACTGGTAAGTCTTCCCAAGGAAGCCAGGGAAGGAAGGCACTTCCCAAACAGGTGCTTACACGGAGTATTAGCAGGATTCTTGGAAGCAAAGTGCTAATGGCACATTTGGCCTAACCCACGACGTTGTATTTTACAAAGAAGAAGGAATATACACATATCCATAGACAAAAGGGGAGTATAGCATAAATGTTAGGGCACTTAAGTAGCAGATTCACAGAGAGGACTGCTAGAGGATGAGACAGGACAAGAAAGGTAATATCATAGAGTCTATTGTATGTTGAGTTTGTGTATATGTACACATTTCTTATAAAATGGCTATTTTTTTCCCCCATAGTGGATGTAGAACCACTGACGAACTTTGATCGGGGAAGCACTATGATTAGAGGCAAGAAAATCTGTTACGAAGCTGTTGTCCAAGAAGTCCAAGAACAAACTGTCGCCAAAGTTCTAATGGGTGGCAAACTGCACTGGGACTTGAGATTTGAGAGAAAACTTGAGACAGCCCAGATTAAAAGTGGCTTGACTAAGTACTGATTTCCATGTAAAGGTGGTCCAATGTAAACATCTACACTTAGGAATTCAACTCCAAAGGAGGTCAAGCCTATAAATTTAAATTCAGAAGTTATTTATCCCAGATAATGATAGCAGGAGCTGTGAACGTAAACAAAAAGACCCTCAATCAAAGCAAAAGATTCTCAAGAAATATTTGTTGAATGGATAAATAAAAGAGTAAATTTAAAGAAAAGAAAAAGAAGCCTAGCTTTAGGAAATGACCACAGAAATAGGAAGACAAAAAAGGAGTTTTAGCTATAACTGAGAAAGAAAAAAAATCAAAGGTCAAGAAAGAAGAAAACCAGAGTCAATAGTGTCAACAGGAAAGTCAAGGAAAAGGAGGACTGGAAAAAAAACCATTCTGCCACTGGCATCAGAAAACTAAGCTCTTCCTCCATAAGCTTTGCCGAATGGTATGTAACTTCTTGCCATTGAGCTTTCCATGGTTAATGTTTGCCCTCTTACTCCTGTTACCATTATTTTATATTAAAATGAGTTCTCTCCAAGTTTGAATGCTCTAATTTTATCAGGCTGTGCATGTGAGGTCTTTCTAAGGCAACATTTTTAAAACATAATACTGATGGCAAAAAAAGTTTCATTAAAGCATCAAAGGTTAATTCCACCCATTTTTATTACTATTATTATTAATTTTCTAAAATGTTAGCGAGGAAGGGGGAGGGAGGAGACAGAGAGAGAGAGAAACATCCATGTGAGAGTCACATGGACTGGATGCCTCCCACGTGTCCCGAGTGGGGACTAAACCCACAACCTAGGTATGTGCCCTGACCGGGAATTGAACCTGCAAACTTTCGGCGTACAGGACAATGCTCCAACTAACTTGAGCCACACTGGCCACGGCCAGATTGTTTCTTAAACCATGAAACTCACTTTTTTACCCTCATGCATTCATGTGCAAATACAAGTGTAGTGCCCTTTTCTCCCTATCCAAAAAAAAAGAAAAAAAAGGCCACTGAACTTGGTTCCAACATAAAAACAAAATAATCTTTTACTTTTAAACTGCAGAAAACAAAATGCCAAACAAAGCTGATTGTTAAAATAAGCATTTCCAGGAACCTGGGTGGACAGAGGAGGCCGGCCGCGGCCAGCCGTGACTGTGAGAGACTTCTGGCTTCTGGGAGAGGTGGCGTGTGAGGAAAGCCTGACAGTGGCTCGGCGCTGCAGCGGGAGTGCCCGGAGAGACGCCTTACAAGGGGAGCTGAGGCCTGCTGGGCAGGGGCCGGTGCGCAGCTGCCCTGCCAGCAAGGCGAAAGGACCGAGGGAGCGGGTTGCTCCCACTGAGGGCCGCTGGGCAGCAATCAGAAAGGTGCACAGCGAGGGGATTTCTTGGCCCCAGTCCGGCGCAGCTGGCACGCTGGAGGCTGCGCAGAGTGCAGAGTTTGGGACTCTGTCTGCGCGAGGGCAGTGAGCTGGGAACTGGATGGGCGGGAGTTAAGCATCTGAAATTATTTACAGCCAGCCAGAGTCCCTTCCCCAGCAGAAATGAACCCCCAGGAAAGGGAGGTTACACCCTGCCCCCAACTCCTACAGAACAGGCAGGACAGACTCAAGAACCCCCAGCTGGGTGCATATCTGCATGAGAAAGACAGAAATGCCTAAAGGGCCCGTTTTGAACTTCTCTCAGGGAGACAAAATACACTGGTTTCTACGGACCCCTTCCACTGAGGCCAGCAAAGCAGGGAGATCAGAAATTGGTGCAGAAAGGGGGAATCAGGGACCCAACCCAGCCTCGGCTGGCACCCGGAGCTGCCATCAGCACCAGGCAGGAAAGAGCTGACCCTCTTACACAGACTGGCCCCTCCTTTGAAACGGACAGGTAGTTCATCAGAAACTATGCATTACTGGAAATAAGCTGGGACAGGCCAAGCCGGGTGGCGCAGGGGAAGGGGGAACACTGAACAGTGCCTCCCAGGGGAGCCCCAGGGACCCCACCTTCCTGACTGCAACAGAAGCCCCCTCTAGGGGCAGGTGAAGGCGATACCGGGAGTGCTGCCAGCAGTGGACAACCCATCCCAGGAGCCTGAGCTGGTAAAAAGCCAGAGCCAGATCCAGAAAGAGAAGACAAAAGGCAAACACCAAACTCTGCTGAGGTGAATTCCATCTCGTTCACCTTCAGAATTTGCGTTTTTTTCTTTTTCACAAAGCCTTTTAATATTTCTTCTTTTGCTTCAATTGTATTCCAATTAATTCACTATTCTTTGTTCTATTTTTCATTCTTTTTATTTAGATTTTTACATTATTTTTATTTCAAATCTCACATTGTTCCCTTCCCTTGTCCTACTCCATTTTGCCTTCTTCCTGCCCTTTCTTATTGTCATTGTAAATTTTACTTTCCTCTACACTATGTCTTACTCCTCACTTATTTCTCCTCCCTCTCACAATCATTCTCCCTTCTTTTAGTCAGCAAACATTCCTTTTCCCCTACTTACAATTTTCTTATTTTCTTTCCACCTTTATAAATTGTGGCTTGTCTGGTATGGGTAATACGGTTATTGCAGTTCTTCCTCAACTGTATTTCTATTTGTTCACTATTTTTTTATTTCCAGTCTCACAAGGTACTCTCCCTGTCTTAATCCACTTGTCTTCCTCCTGCCCTTGCTTATTTGAGTTTGGAATTTTATTCTTTCCCTTTCTTAGCTTGTATTCTATTCTTTACTCTTTATTTTTTCTCCTCCCTCTATCCTCTCAAAATCTTTTTTTTTTTTTTTTTTTTTTTTTACTGTAGACATCTCATATTCTTTCATAATATTCTTATTCTCTTTCCACCTTTATTAATCTTTGGGCAGCTGTCATTGTTATTGATCCTGTTGTGGTTTTTCTGAAATTTTGTTCCCTTTAGTTCACTAGTTTTTAATTTTATTTCAAACTTTATATTATAATCTTCCCTTTTGTTACCCCATTTTGCCATCACACTTCCCTGTTTTAGTTAACTTTTTAAATTTTATTTTCTCCCCTTCTTCACCTTGTTTCTATTCCCTACTTTTATTATCTCCCCTCCCTTTCCCCACTCAAAATCATCTTTCTGTCCTTTGGTCATCTCATATTCCCTTTTTCATATCTTAAAATATTCTTAATCTCTCTCCACAGTTATTACTCTTTACTCAATTGCAGCTGATATTGTTGATGTGGTAGGGGGGTATATTTGGGGTGTGGGTTTGGTTTTCTGAGTAGTATTGCTTTGCTAATCAGCACCTGTACAAGAGCATACAAGACGTGGTGGGGTTGTGAATCCCAGTCAGCGAACTGGAGGAGAGAACCCTCCAATGAATGAGCCATCAATAATCAAAGCCCAAGTACAAAAAGAAAGCCCACGTAAACTGAATAACGGGCAACCCTAAATCATCCAGATCAGGAGATCAAAGAGGGTGCACCAGTGAGTCCCACAGAACTGCCACTACAGAAGTCCACCTCATGAAGACAGGCAGGCAAAGCAGAGCAACCTTAGGCACAGAAACATACAGTAAGAGTCACTTAAACTGGGGAGACAAAGAAATAACCCCCAATTGAAAGGAGAGGAGGAATCTTCGGAAAAAGAGCTAAATTACGCAAGTAACCTATCATATATAGAATTCAATATAATGGTTATAAGGAACTCAGTGAGAACTACAAGGAACTTAGTGAGAACTACAGCAGTATGAAAAAGGACACAGAAACAATGAATAAGAACAAGGAAGGAATGAAGAATATCTAAAATGAAAAATACACTAGAAGGAATTAAAAGCAGGCTAAATAAAGCAGAGGACCAAATCAGAGACCTGAAACACAAGGTAGAAAGAAATAGAGAAACAAAACAAAAAAAGACTCAAAAAGTACGATGATAATGTAAGGGAACTTCAGAACAACATGAAATATAATGACATTTGTATCATAGGAATATCAGAAGGAGAAGAAAAGGAGCAGGAAACAGAAAACCTGTTTGAAAAAAGTCAGACAAGTTCAGGAAGCACAGAGGATCCCAATGAAGATGAACCCAAATAGGCACACTCCGACACATATCATAATTAAAATGGCAAATTTTAAAGATGAAGAGAGAATCTTGAAGGCAGCAAGCACAAAACAGCTAGTAACATACAAGGAAGCTCCTTAAGGCTATCAGCTGATTTCTCAACAGAATCACAAGCCAGAAAAGATTGTTACGAAATATTCCAGGTAATGAAAACCAAGGACCTACAACAAAGATTACTCTATCCTGCAAGGGTGTCATTTAAAATGGAAGGCAAAATGAAGAGCTTCCCAGATAAAAGAAGGCTAAAAGAGTACATCTCCACCAAGCTAGCACTGCGAGAGATGCTAAAGGGACTGCTATAAAAAGGAGAAGAAAGAAAGAAAGGGAGAGAGAGAGAGAAACGCAGTTATGGGAAAATATGGCAACAAATAAGTACCTACCAATAATAACTGTAAACATAAGTGGATTAAGTGTTCCAGTCAAAAGACATACGGTAGCTGAATGGATAAGAAAACATGACCTGCATATGTGCTGCCTACAAGAGACCCACCTCAGAACAAAAAAAAAATCTACAAAGGTTTAAAGTGAAAGGATGGAAGAAAAATATTCCAAGCAGATGAACACGAAAAGAAAGCTGGGTAGCAACACTTATATCAGACAAAATAGACTTCAAAACAAAAGCTATTAAAAAAAGGTCACTACATAATACTTAAGAATAATCCAACAGGAGGATATAATATGCATCCCACAAAAGAGCACCTAAGTATATAAAGAAAATCTTGGAGGACTTCAAGAAAGATATTGACAACAACACAGTCATTGTAGGGGATTTTAACACCCCAATGTCAACAATGGATGGATCTTCCAAACAAAGAATCAACAAGGATACTGTGGCACTGCACAATGAACTAGATCAACTGTACTTAACTAATATATACAGAACCTTTCAACCCAGAGAGGCAAAATATACATTCTTTTCAAATGCACATGGAAAATTTTCAAAGATAGACCAAATGGTAAGACACAAAACAAGCCTCAACAAATTCAGGAAAATTGAAATCATATCAAGCATGAGCTCACTTCACAAATGATTAAAACTAGAAAGCAACCTCAAGGAAAAAACTAAAAAACATGGAGAGTGAATAACATGTTATTAAATAATGAATGGATCAACAATGAGATCAAGGAAGAAATCAGTAAGTAACTTGAAACAAATGATAATGAACACACACAACCCCAAACCTATGGTACACAGCAAAGGCAGTACTGAAAAAGATGTTCATAGCCATACAGGCCTAACTAAAGATAAAAAATCTAAAATAAACAACCTAAACCCTACATCTACAAGAACTAGAGGAACAACAACAAACAAAGCCCAGAGCGAGTAGAAGGAAGGAAATAATCAAGATCTGGGCAGAAGTAAATGACATAGAGACTAAAAGAACAATTCAAAGGATCAATAAGTCCAGAAGCTGGTTCTTTGAAAAGATAAACAAAATGACAAACCTTTAACTGGACTCATCAAGAAATCAACAAGTGCTGGAGAGGATGTGAAGAAAAGGGAACCCTAGTGCACTGCCGGTGAGAATGCAGACTAGTGCAGTCACTGTGGAAAATAGTACAGAATTTCCTCAAGAAACTAAACTGGAACTGCCTTTTGGCCCAGCAATTTCGCTGCTGGGAATATGCCCTAAGAATTCTGAATCATCAATTCAAAAGAACCTATGCACCCCTATGGTCAAAGCAGCACTATTTACATTAGCCAAGTGCGGGAAACAGCCTAAGTGCCCATCAGAAAATGAATGGATCAAAAAACTGTGGTACATTTACACAATGGAATACTACGCAGCGGAAAGAAAGAATTCCTACCTTTTGCAATTGCATGAATGGAACTGGAGATTATGCTAAATGAAGTAAGCCAGTTGGTGAAAGACAAATACCATATGATCTCACCTATAAGAGGAATCTAAAGAAAATAAACTAACAAACAAAATACCACAGGCATGGAAAACATGGAACAGATTGAAAGTGACTAGAGAGGAGAGGGATGGGGGATAATGGTAGAAAGAAGTGGAAGGGACTAGACAAAGAATATGTATGAATGACCCATGGACATGGACAACAGTGTGGGAATCAACTGTGGGAGCAGGGGGCTTGGATGGGCAGAGAGGGGACAAAGGGGTAAAAACTGGGGCAACTGTAACAGAGTAACAATAAAAAAAACAATTAAATAATTTTTTAATAAAGGAAAGAGTAAGAAAATCTAAGCTTTAAAAAATGTTAAAGGCAAATAAAAAATAATTCTCCTGGCAGCCTGGCTTAAAAAAACGTAGCATTTACAGAAATAGATGGGATAATAGTAAGTTCCTAAGAAAAAGGACCTCCCCTGGCTCCTGGCTCGTGTGGCTCAGTGGCTGGAGCGCTGTCCTGTGAACTGAAAGGGTGCTGGTTTGATTCCCAGTCAGGGCATAAACCTGTTGCAGGCCAGGCCCCTGGTTGCAGGCGTGTGAGATACAACTGATTGATGTTTCTCTCCATTTCTTTCTCCCTCCCTTCTCCTCTTTATAAAACATTAATAAAATCTTTAAAAAAAAAGGGAAAAAAGACCTTAAAATTAAAAGGCAAAAATATAAAACCAAAGAACTACTAAACATAGACAAAAAAAGTATGTAAAGAAAAGTATACTCAATTACTTAAAATATTTACCTTTTTTATTCTTTTACAAGGACATCTAAGTTTTACCTTCTGATTGCAATTAAAAGGACATTCACCAGGATGGCATATCTCTTTGCATCTATGACCACAAGGAAGCTAAAATAAAACCATAATAAAGCAGTTACACATTTATATTTTAGTCATACTCTGCCTCCCCTTTCCCCCAACAACTATTTTAAGAAAGAATCCACCTCAATAGTATTAATCAACCCTGGATAATCAGCTAATTTTTCAACTTTAATTAGCCCTAATTATAATCAAATCACATGACCATTTTTCCCTGTTAGCTGTGCAAGTATGTGCTATTTCAAAAGCCAGGTTATACTTTGAAAGAGCTGAAAAGCAGTCACAAAGACAACTGATTAGAATGCATAATATATAACGACTGTACCTTCATTGTAGATTTCACAGCAAAAGATTTTTCTAAAACATCCAACCCTGATATCCATTTAGAGATGAGAGGCCATTTCCACTCAAAGTGAACTGGTTTTCTTCTGCTTGACCCAGCCCTCAGTATTATTCTGATAGCACTTTGGTTAAGTCATAGCAAATGGCTTATCAATAACAAATATGGTCTAGTTCAAAAATGTTCCATTTTAATGCCAATAATTTTAAAAGCTCTCTCTAAAGATAATTAGAGAAGGCCTGTAAAACAACACTGCTTGTGGACAGATACACTTAACATCATCACCACAGCTAGTACTTACCATACACTAAGACCTTTACATGTTATTAACTCATTTAATACTCAGACAACATTCTGCAGTGGACTTATTATCACTTCCATTTTACAGATGAACAATTTGAGTTACAGAGAGGCTAAACAATATGCCCAAGCAAAAAGGAGAAAAGTTTGTGTGCTAATAATAAAACCAAATTAAGAAAACAATGTTTAAAGTACAGATGTACGAGTATATGTGGAACACAGTTTAAATTTGGAGCTCTTAATGGTACCGTTAAATTTTCTTTTAGTTAAATTCAAACCTAATGCAACAATCCAGAAGGCAGAGTGCGTATCAGAAAAGTAGCAGAGCTGAAAGGATATGCCTATGCTATTTCATTCACATTCAATAAACATTTACTAGCTGCTTAATACATACAATCAGAAAACCAGGGACTAGATACAAAGATAAATGTGACAGAGTCCCTACCCACAAGAAATCTACAGTAAGGTAAAGGGAGGGTAAAGTAAACAGAAACTTATCAGTACATCAGAATTTATCAGAATCCCACACCTTAACTGAGTACAAGATATCTACTGCAGATTAACAGAGTTCTTGGCTGATCATAAGTATGACCTGACTCTATAGTCTACTGGTTCTCAAAGTGTGGTCCCAGACCAACAGCATCACCACTATGTAAGAATTTATTAGAAATGCAAATACTCCAGGCCCAGAAAATGAGAATCTCTGGGCTGGGGCCCATCGATCTGTTTTAACAAGCCCCTGAAGTGATTCTGATGCAGACCAGAGTTTAAGAACCACTGTGGCAGCCTTACCAATGTCAAGAGGCCATAAACTGGAATGAGTTCGATTAGACACATTGAAATTTCCTACGTTTTTCTAAACTATATCAGCAATTTGCATTGTTCTCAGTCTAAGGCTTTATTTTTCAAGAAAGCCCAAGAAGACTCTAGAATGGCAGAGGGGCTCCAGAATGACCTAGAATCCAAAATCATGACCATGGATACAAAAGTTTAAATTAATAGTGCCCACACATGTAGAACCAGCAAATGTCATTACAGATCACCATAGCCAAGGCAATGCTAGACAGCAAATCAGCAACTGCTGAATTAAATTATCTTATTTCTAATAAATATCATAGTAAGTTACTGTGTCAGATTAAAAAAATAAACCATTCTCAACTACTTATTACCTGGAATCTGAATTTGGATAGAAGAAAATTTTTTTACAAGAAAAACTCAGGATTTGAAGAATTCAGAAAATTAAATCTGAAATATCCCATGCCTCTAGTTTTACTTATATTAACAAAGGCAGATTGAAATAATCATTTATTGCTTAAAATGGTCTTCTATTTTAAATCTGACATAAATTTTGAAATTCTCAGGTTTGAGTTCTTACACAAAAATCCATAAAAGTGTCCAAAGTTTTAGTTAAAGAAAATACTGTTAACAAAATGGCATATCATGCATTGATTTGTTTTATCTTTGTTGGCATCTCTTCCTGACCAAGAATTAAAAGAGATACTATTAATAGATCTATAAGTCAAAATGATTCCTTTATAAACATCCACCCAAAACAAATAATTGTCACTGTCGAACCTCCAACCACAAAAAAAGGAGCATCCTCACTTTTAGACTGGCCAAATACAGATGGGTAACTTTGGTTTCTCAAATCATTGCCAGCATAAACCAATAGTGAAATTTCAGCTTTTTACTCTGAACAATTTTCTGCAATCATTTTTGATCCTTTTAGTCTGAATACAATGCATATACAAATATCTGAATCTTTAAAAACAAAACTATATATGAATGCTCTATACTAATTAATTCAATATAATAATCAACTTTGAAGCGCTCTCTCTCTCTCTCTCTCTCTCTCACACACACACACACACCCCCACCCACCCCTGTCTTTTTTAATAACCTACTATAAATTTACTCTCTTAATTGCCTACAACCCACACAGTTGTTGACCTATTTATATTTTAAGTCTGAATCACATTACGGAAAATAAGCATTTAGTGAATACCTTATTGCATAAAGTATATAAACTATCTGTAAAACTACTTGAAAAAATCTTCAAAGGATCATTCCTAGTCCTAGTATCTCCAAACTCCATAAAGAGATCTGCCTCTACCCTAATCATATGCATTACATTTTTACAGACATCACATTTTTCTTTTGGACCTATATTTAGTGGGTCTGAAAAAGACCTGAAATAGGATGTTCAGACAAGAAAACAGAAAATCCTAAAGAAACAATGCCCAAAAAATACAACTTAGAACGTTCTATTAAAGCTTACCTCTTTAGGACACTGATTTTTGCAACAACTGAGGAGGTTCTTTTCATTTACATCAGCTGTGGTTATTTTTCTAAAAATAGAAGAGAAAGATTTGGTGACATTCAAACCAAGACCACTTCATAGCATATTTGCCAAGACAACTCACAATTTCAAGCATATCTATATGATTAACTTTTTCTTGAGAACTATTTTGTGTCTCTATAACAATTATCTTCCAATTATTTTTCTGTTCTGATAAACGTTCCAGCCCTTCATCAATTACCAGCAAATCAATTGTCAAAAGGTCAGTCACTACTAGAAGGAAGTACCAAATGCACAAGAAATATCATCTATGCCTGGGCCTCTCTTTAATAGTTTCTGTACTATATTTCCCTATAGGTTAATCATTATTCAAAATTACAATTATTCCTTTTTTTAGAAGATTTCATTTATTTTTAGAGAGAGTTAAGGGAGAGAGCAAAAGGAAGAGAACTATCGATGTGCGAGAGGAACACTTTTCCCCATTACTTTTCCTTTCTTTATTCCTTCTTTTCATGCTTTTTCTATTTCCCTTTACTAGACACACTTGCCGAAATATATTATAAGGTTAGCCTCACTAATGCCAAAACTATAAATGTAGTATTTGTATCAAATTAGCTATAAATGTACTCTAACAAAAGCAATTTTCTTTTCAAAATTTCACTTAACATCACAAAGTTTTTATGCTAGCTCTACTAAATGTGTATATTTTAATTCTTGCAAGTATGGTGCCCACTTCTGAACTGACTCAGTTAAAATCATTTTGTTCCCGTTACTCTCTAATTACAAAAAATTACCTACTTTTCAAGGTCTATATCTTTAATATTTTATTTCTATAGAAGAAATATACATGAAGCAGAAAAGAAGTAAAAGGAAAAGATGACTTATGAAATAATTTGCTGAGTTAAAGCAAATAAAATTATAAGAATACTGAGACTAAAGAATTCTTTATAAAAACATATTTTAACTATGCATTTAAGAAAGGGAAAAAGGAACTCTGGGTATGGAAACTGCCTCAATCCAAATGTATCTACACATCACTCCAAAAAACCATTCAGCTCATCAATAACAGAATCACTCAAATGCCACGACCTTGGCATAATTAGAAGACAGGAATGCCAACAAACTTCAAATTATCTGTAAGTAGAAAAATATATACCAATTATTAGCATAGCTATTTCTCAGGCACCCATAGGAATCTTTTCAAGAAGCCATGAAGTTCTGGAAAAACTAAACAAAAAAGTTGGGGAGCTAACCTTACATCAGAAAAAGTAAGTCAACCCTTTCTTTAAAGGGTTTTTACATTTAAATATCCTTTAGTGAGGTATTTCTTTAAGTGTAAAAACACTAAAAAAGACTTGGTAGTTCAAAGCACTAATTATAGGGAGGAGACTTTAAAAAGCACAGAACCACCAAGAAGCCAATCTTGGAAAGACATCATTCTGGGGAAGAGAAGGTAAAAAGGGAAAGGCACCCTCCCTAGCTGGATGGCTCAGTTGGTTGGAGAGTCGCCCCATACACTAAAAGGTTGTGAGTTCAATCCCTGATCAGGGCACATGCCTAAGCTGCAGGTTCGATCCCCCATCAGGGTGCATGCTGGAGGCAAAGAATTGATGTTTCTCTGTCACATCACTGTTTCTCTCTCTCCCTCTCTTTTCCTCTCCCTCTCCCTCTCTTTCTCTCTTCCGCTCCCCTTCCTCTCTCTCTAAAAATCAATAAATATATTCCTGGGTAAGGATTTAAAAAAAAAAAAAAAGGGAAAGGCACCCTTTGAAGACTACATGCAGAAGAGAAAAAGAAGAGAAAGAAGTTTAATACCCAGAAAGATCAAAGAAAACAATCCCTTTTGTCAGTATTACCCGTTAATAAAGGAAAACTGTCCTCTTACCTCTCTCTACAAAACTTCTAAAGCTAAAAATTGTAATATTTTATTTTTTAAATTTCAGAAATAATTTTGGCTTTTATAATTTAACAAAGCATGAATCTAGAGTGTTTAAGTGACAAAAACAGATTTAATAGGCATTTTTCAGAAAGTATTTATGCTCCAAAAAATCAGAAATAAAAGTTACATTCTTGAGAATTTAATTTGAGTTAAATATACTTACAAAAAGCCCATTTTACAGACTTTGAAGAAATGGAATTGAATGAGTTTGATCATGATTAACTGAGGTTAGAGCATGATTAAATAGAAAAGAATGGAAGTTTTTTCACCTCCACATAATCAACAAGCAAAAACTTGAATTTTTTTAAAGTTAAGGGAAAACAGAGGTCATATCCTTATGATAAATGCCATAACAGCGACATCTGTTACAAACAAAACTCAAGCTTTTAAATCTATAATTCAAAAATTACATTTAAGTAATTATGTGCCAGTCAATTTTTAAGCCAACAAAATTCTAGTTTGACACTGTTATTTGAACAATTGTTATGAGTGCTTCTCCTATTTCTTTTTAAAAGCAGTGATGCAATTTTTTCCTAACAAAATCTTATACAGAATCCCCAAATAGAAAAGTCAGAATTTCCCTGGTTGAAAAAACGTAAAGTAACTACAAGCTGAAGTGGTCCATAGTTCTGCCAGGTCTCTAGGGAAAATCTAGGCCTCCAGAGTCTAAGGACCACGGCTTAGAAATATTCCTTACAGTATACTACCTATGAAGTGTTCTGAATTATAAAAAGACATCAAAATAACTTTAGTAAAACAAGAATATTTCTTCAGTCTACTTACCTACATTCCACAAATAGGGTTGTGATCTTGCAGTGACATTTTATTCGAAGCATCTGCACACAAGGAGGACATTCTCCAGGGTGACACGGCAAAACACATGGGTGGGGACAGCCCACCGGCCGTGCTTTAGAGCACCCTTCTTCACACTGAAGGCATTCTGGGCCAGCCTGACACAAGGAAACAAATCGCCTACGTACAAAAGTCTTAACACTTGTATTACAGTAGTTATAAAATTTATATAGTCCATTAAAAGAAAGTGCTTCTGCAGCTCTTAGAAATATAGTTAATAAAATGTATTAACTGTATTTAAAATCACTCACTTTTAAAATATTCAAAATGGAGACCAGCAAGATCATCAATACGACCACTATTCACAAAGATTTTTATGTCTACAAACCTCATTAAATCAAACTATTTCACCTATAAAATGGACATGATTTCATTAAATATCTCTACTAAAAATGTAAATTACTTCCTAAAAAACAGTCAGTGGCAGGAAAAAAAATACAAAGTAAAATATTTTCAATTCATTTAGACCCAACAAGTACGATCATCATCAAACTAAAGAAATCCATACATTAGTAACACATAAATAAAAATTTCCAAAGCATTAAATGTCTGGAGATAATCACATCTTGCTAAAGAGAAACACATATAGAGAAAAAAAGGAGAATGACCCCCAGCTTAATTTACTTTTAATGCACTTCAATAATGTAAAACTAAATTGCATTTAGTACAAATAAATGTATCTAAATTATAAAAATCTAAATTAACAAGTCACCCTTCCTCTAGGAATTTAATAATTTAAGTAGTATGTACCTACTAAAAAAGTTTAAAGATTTTTATTCATAATATTATTTATTTTCACATCATACAAGAGATAAAAGAGCTATAGATATGGATACTAAGTCTTGAAGATTAAACATTTTTCATTATCAGCTTTTAAATTAGCTTTTTCCAATTCATCCAATTTCCTGGAAGTCCAAGGAGGGGAGCAACCCTAATTTTAAGTAACGGGATAATGAGAAGAAAAGCAGAATAAGCATCTGGGTTATCATCACAAATTAGGAAACTAATCTTGATATGTGAATCTTTTTTCCCTCATTTTATTGAAATTTATTTGACATTGTGTAAATTTGAGGTGTTCAACATGTTAATTTGATATTTATATATTTTAATATGATTTCATAAGAGCAATAATTAGCACCTCTATCACATTACAGAATTATCCTTTCTTTTTAGTGGTTGGAATAATTAAATTTTAGTCTCTTAGGAAGTTTAATGATTATAGTAACATTCTCTTTTTAAAAAGTCAATGAAACATGACACATCACATATATTGCCTTTAGCAATGTTCTCAAACATTTTTGTGTGTTATCAATCACTTGAGAATCTTGTTCAAATGCTAAGAACAGAGAATCTGGTTCAAAGTCTCAACCAAAATAAGCTTTTGCATTTCTAACAAGATTCTAGCTGATGCCAATGTTACTAGTCTGCAGACAACACTATGAATGGCAAGGGTCTAACATACATAATTATATAGAAAGGTATGCATATGTGATTGTATATGTGTGTGCATTATTTTTTTTTAATGGGCTTTTGGTGACAGATTTTCCCCAAAGAAAACAGACTTTCCTCATTACTCTGTTTCTTCTTCCAGTCACTCAAAGACATTTGATCCCACATTTGCCTGGGAAACAAACACCATTTCAACTGCCATCAGCCTCATCATACCTTTCCCCTGACAACCACAGTTCCATGCACTATAACCAACGAATTAGACAACAGGAACATTTGTTGCTACTGGTAACAATCAGAACCACTGCATTTAACAGACTTGATTGGATTGAGACCTGTGGGCATGGTCACGACAGGGAGACTCCAGCACAGTTGATAAGCAAAAGAGTTTTGAGTCTAGCCAATTCAATGAACACTTACTACTTGCTATGTTGTAGGCTCTGTGCTACAGCTAAAGGCAGAAATTGCATTAAAAATTCCAGAGCCATTTGGGTCAAGAGATACATACTAGGTGCCTTTTTCCAGTAGGTCTCAACTGAGGTGTTACAGTAACAAATTTTTTTAAGTTTCTGAATTATTTTGTTTTTAATATATAAATTAGAATGATCACAACATTATCCCTGAAATAATCTAATTTTCACTCACTTGCACTGTAGTAGCCTTCCCCAAATGAGAGATAGGAATAAATTGTAGCTAAATTGAGAAAAACTGCAAATAACTTATAACCCCTATTTTGCCACATCCACTGCCCAGTAAGCAATGGTGAAATATTTACTGAGAATTCCCCAATCACTGTCAGTCATATCAGCTCCAAAAGTGAATTTTTTCTGACTCACTTGATGTTCTAAAAATCTCGAGGAGGAATGTCATATAGCAGCTACACTTTATAGTTAAAATGGATTTGAGTCATTATAATTATTTATTATGTTAATTTTATAATTCTAATTTCTTTTTCATTTTATTGTATCTCTATTTTTATTGAGAATCAAGACATGGATTAATGAGGGAATTATAATACATTTACATGTATGTATACATATGACCAACAGTGATAGTATGGATACTTATGTTGTCATACAATTACCAAATCAAAGACCAAAACAACTAACATTGAATTGAAATTGTCAACAATATAATTCATATTAAAATTTAAACATTTGTAAATTTAGTGTTACTTAATAAATATGAAGCTTAAAATGTTTTGGCTTATTCCTCGTTAAGCACACTTGCTATTATTATTATGATTCCCTATAAAATGAGAGTCTAAGAAAAACCATAAATTACTCTAAAAATAAAATTTAATATTATTTAAAAGTTGATTAGCTACATTTGTTTTTCCTTATCAAATGCCAATTTTTGGAGATCTCTAAATTGTCAATTTCTGGTATTCTTATAAAACGCTTTTATTGAATTTCACATACACATAACTCACACATTTGTGATACATTTACTTTACTTCCAACAAAGTTTGGGGACTTACTAAAATTGCAAGCATCATGTATCATACAAATTCAGAAATATATATAAGCATTTACACATTCAACCTAAGAACATTACCTTGTTTTTACCAGTGCAGGCATCAGTTTCCGTTACCTTGTGGCATTCGCGCATACATACATGGTTCTGACAATCTAAGGTGCGTCCACAAACTCTCTTACAAGAATAGGGACCTACAGCATGGCATGGTAGTGGACTCACCTTAAGAGAAAAAAGAAAATCAGCAACCCACACGCGCGCGCGCACGCATGTACACCCCACGCCCCCCTACTTCAAGGCCTATTTCCAAGACAAATCTGTTATAATCTGATAACAAGTTTCCTAAAGGTCTGACACATTTTCACTGATACTAATTATCAAAACTAAAGTAACCTATCAAAAAATCCAATAAATGAATGCCAAGAAGCAAAACATTCTTCTCCTAAAAGGAAAATTCAACATGATTCTGTAGTAAATGCATATTTATAAACTAATTTTCAAATAAAAGCACTATATATTTTTAAAATCAGCAGATGGCCCCAGCCGGTAAGGGTCCTGTTGGTTGGGCGTCATTCCACAAATGGAAGCGTCGTGGGTTGACTCCTGGTCGGGGTACAGGCCTGGGATGGGGATTTGGTCCCTCAGGGCACATATGGAAGGTAACAGATCTGCTTCCCTCCCACATCGATGTTTCACGCCTTATCTTTCTCCCTCCCTTCCCCCTCTCTAAAATAAAAAATAAAGTATTAAATAAAATAAAATTAGTAGACAAACTATTGTCTTTAAAACACTGAAATAACAACACTTTGAATTCATTATTTCTAACAATCCTAGTATAGAAAAGTTACAGACTACAAGTTTTATTAAAACTTGTGCCAATAACTCACCTCATGCTTCCCAAGACACTGCCTGGAAGTAAAAAATAAAATGAAATGAAAACATTATAAATTCTTCCAAAAGAATACCTAAAGCAGAGATGCTCAGTCTACTAATTTGTTTTATTAAGAATAAAAAACACCTGGAAATATGTGATTATGGAAATGCTGCAGGATATAAAGTTAATATACAAAAGATAACTGCTTTACTATTAACCAGCAAAGAACAACTGGAATTTGGAAACATGAAACATAACACTGTTTATATTAGCACACATAAAAAAAAGAAATTATTTAGGTTATACACCTAACAAAATGTATACAAGATCCATATGTGGAAAATTACAGAACACTTGTGAAAGAAATCAAAGATCTAAATAAATACTCCATGTTCACTGATACGAAAGTACAATATTGTTAAGATGTCATTTCTTTCCAACTCAATGTAGATTCAACACAGTTCCAATCAAAATCCCAGCATGTTATTTTATGGTTATCAATAAACTGATTCTAAGATCTACATGAAAGGACAAAAAGCCCAGAATAGATAACCCAGTACTAAAGAAGAATAAAGTCAAAGGATTGACACTACCCAAACTGAAGAAATGCAAAACTATAAAACAGGAGAAAATCTAGGTGACCTTGAAACTGGTGATGACTTTTTAGATACAATACCAAAAGCATGATCCATGGAAGAAAATGGTAAAGTTGGTCTTCATTAAACCAAAAACATCTCTGTGAAGAACACTTAAATGAAAAAGTATTAAATGAAAACAAATGAAAAGACAAGCCATAGAATGGGAGAAAATATTTGTAAAACACATATCTGGTAAAGGATTTGTATCCAAAGTATAAAAAGAACTCAAAACTCAAGATTAAGAAAGCAAACACCCAATTAAAAAATGAACAAGATTTGAACACAAAACAGACACTTCACGAAAGACATACAGATGGCAAATAAGCACAGGAAAAGATGCTCAACATCATATGTCATTAGAGGACTGCCAATTAAAACGAGATACTACTGCACACCTATTAGAAAGGCTAAAACCCAGAACACTGACCACACCTGATACTCGCAAGGATGTAGAGCAACAGGAAATCTCACTCGTTGCTAGTTACGATACAAAATGGTACAGCCACTTTGTTGGACAGTTTGGCAGTTTCTTACAGAGCTAAATATAGGCTTACCATATGACCCAGCAATTGCTCTCCTAAATATTTTCCCAAATGAGTAGAAAACTTATGTCCACTCAAAAACCTGCTAATGAATGTTTATAGCAGCTCTATTCATAATTCCCAAAACTTGGAAGCAGCCAAAATGTCCTTCAATAGGTGAAGAGATAAACTATGGTACATCCATAAAATGGAATATTATTCAGTGATAAAAAGAAATGAGCTATGAAACCATGAAAAGACCTGGAGGAACTTTAAATGCATATTTTTAAGGGAAAGAAGCCAGTCTAAAAAGATTTTACACTGTATGATTCCAACTATATGACATTCTGGAAAAGACAAAACTATAAAGACAATAGAAAGAACAGTGGTTTCCCAGGAGTTACAGGGGAATGGAGGCAAGAGATGAACACAGCATGGGACATTTTTAGGGCAGTGAAACTATTCAGTATGACACATACAGAATAATCTTCCTGTAAAACAGATTAAGGAATTCAAAGGTAATTGACTATGATGTGTCACCTTTAGTGCCTATGAATCGAAATATCAATGTCTCTTCTGTTTCCCTGAAAGGAAAAATTTAGGTCACTGATAATCACTAGTAACTCAAACCTAGTAAGAGACACTGGAGACAACTTGGTCCCTCATGACACACATGTCCTCAGTAAAAGAAGAGTCTCTGATAAATACTAACTGAATATCTACATAGAGAACCTCTGTGCTAACTACACCTACCCCCTCTCCGCTAAACCTACAGACTAAAATCACCCTATGTGCCAATATAGCTCTCAATAACACTTTACTCCCAACCTGACTGCCCAGCGCTCATAAAAACGAGCATGGCACTTAACCTGAGAGGACAGTTGTGAAAGGACAAAACAGGAGTGAGAATTTTTAAAAGTAAAGACGGATACACAAGACATATTGAATTCAATTTGGAACTTCAGTTGTAGACAACAGCCTCTTTTGTAATTCTAGGCTGCGTCCCTGTGCTTCCTGTGCCCCTATATTCCGTGACCTCTGCTGGAAGCACGAACAGTTCCGGGATTCCCCATGACCCCAGGTTTGACTCAATCCCGATCATTTGCTGACCCATCCCGGAAACTACGTCCTTTCAGTTTCAACATTTCCCTCACACACTCTCCTTGAAGTTTGTCTTCCCTAAAACCTGGCCTTCCTTTGTCCTTGAAGAGCTTAGAGACTAGCATGGGAATCAATCAGGAAAACTAACAGATGATGATCTCTTAGATATATTATTGTAATTGTAAGCACAAGTGGTTATGGAAGCTAAGAAGGGCATCAAACTCTAGCTGGGGGAAAAGACTCTAAAAGCAATCTAGACGACATTTTTAAGCAGTATGCAAAATATATTTGGAAAAGAACGAAGCTGAAGATAGGGAACTAGCTTATAGGCTAAGCCTAAAATGATTAATTGAATAAAGAAAATCAGAAAAGGTGACTTAAGATACACTTTGAACTATGTCAGAGATATTTTTAAAAGTTAAAATTCTAATACTTACATAGGAATAGGAACTTGACATGGAGGGCAAGGTAAAGCAGTCTGAATAAATGCCGGCTCAGAAGGCTGTTCCCAAGGGCCTGTAGGCTGGTGCTACAAGTAAAACATACAATGATTTTAAGTCAGAGGGGTAAAAATCACCTTGGCCATTAGTAAGAATCTAAGGAAATACTTCCATGTATCCTCCACTTAAGCAGGTTGAAAATTTTACAAGAAATCAACAAACTGTGCTTGCTAAAATATTCTATTCCACCTGCATTCCATCAGCTTGCTCCCTTCCATGCACATTTGATATTAAAAACTGAGGCAGACTCCAGTTTTTAAACGGCAGCACAGAGGCAGTATAGCCTCCTTAGTTGCTCATAAGCTAAAAGCACAATGAGAGATATAATTGTGAATTCCAACTTCTACCAACAGAATGTAATCTCCATTTCTTTTTTGTTCACTTGTCTCCCTACCACCTAGAATACTTAGCACATAGTAAGAGCTCAGTAAATGCCCATCAAAAATGTGAATGAATCTTTGAGAAAACCAAGATATATCTATAGCCTTAAATCACATATGTGAAGGAAGACTGCCAAATTTATTTCTGTCTTGAAGACAACATGACTATCATCACACTATATTTGCAAGTATTTGTGTTTTGATCTCTCTCGTTTTCTATTTTGTAAGCTTCTTAAAACAAAAGAGCAAGTCTTAGTTATCTTGTATCCCAGTTCCTATCACAGGGCTTAATACCAAATAAATACTTATTCAAGAAAATACGACCCACAGCAATTCACTGTCTCTTAGTAATACTGTTCTCTTACCCTGCCAGTTTGCTTTACTAATGCTTGATCATGACATGGAGCAGGACATAAGTGACCACATTTCTCCAACACCTTTTGGCAAGGTTGATGGCACGGAGGGCAAGGGCCAAAGTGACAGCGATGCTTTTCTTGGCTTGTATGATGGCAAGTTGGTGGTCGGCTAAATCATAAAGTACAATTTTTTACATTACTTTTCATCACTGAAAAATCATATTTAAAATGTAATTATCTACTTATACATCTCCTGATTCCATAGAGAATGAGAATATACGGTGAATATTAAACCATTAAAGCAATTGAAAATACTAACAATATTAAAAATCAACATGAATTTAAATTGGCAAGACACAAATGTAAGCTTGGACAAAGCTTCAGATTAACCTGCATTGCTCTTTGCACTTGGGCGGTCGTGTGGTACGTTCGCGGCCACAGGGCACTGTCACCTTCGTATTGCCGCAACTGCACTTCACATCTACAGTTTCTGGGCAAGGATAGCAACTACCTGAAAAAAAAAGACTGAAACTTAAAATCTGCTCTACTACCCAAATGCCCATCAAGAGTAGAATCAATAAATTTTGTATGTTTGCACAATGGGATATTCTACATGAAAACGAAGAAACTACAATATATAAATGAACCGCACACACTTGATACTGAGCAAAGAAGTCACACAGAAAGAGTGTGATGCATAGGACTCCATTCACATAAAGTAAACAGAAAAACTAATCTATAATGTTCAAAATCAAGATGATGGATATGAAGGGTTTTGGGAATGCTGGTAATATTCCGTTTAAGGATTTGAGTTCTGGTTACATGGATGTGCCCAGTTTGTAAATATTCATCAAGTGGAACAATTATGATTTGTATACTTTTTCTATATCTACACTTGGGCTTCAATAAAAGTTTTATTCTTTAAAATTTCCTAAAAGTTGTCTTAAAAAACAAATCTAACACATTCCTCATTCACAAGAGAATTGGATCTAAGTCTTTGGACTAACTACTGTTAACAATAACCTCTGTGGCTTACTTTCATACATACTTCTATTCAAGTACATTGGTTTTGGATAAATTCCCCAAAATAAATTCTTTCATCAGTACAATTTTCTATTACTCAGGTTTTGCAAAACTAAATTCTAAACCCTCACTTGAGGTTATAATTCCACATATTTCTCTTTTAAACATTTCAAAAAGGAAAAGATATTTTGGCTTCAGCTTTTCACCTTCTTTTGTTATGAGTTGGCAGACATACACAAAGACAAAAAGAAAGAAATCTTTTTAAACAGGCTATCAAGTTCGTGCCAAGGCTCAGACATCTTTTTGAGGGCCTTCTTCCTACTCTAGTTTTCCCAGTAAGGTACCCCATTTGAAATGAAATAAGGAAATTAGAATCTTCAACTAAGCAGTGAATATATTAAGAGATTGCTGCCTCGGTGTCAGGACCAAGCAAAATACTGCCTAGCAGTTAATATGATAAGAAACAGACTAAAGATGAAAAATATCCAGGTTAAAACCTCTAAAAGTTCACAATGGTTCCTTAAACAGCAGAATTTGGATTCAAATAATGAACAGAGAAAAAGGAAATGAAAGTAAAAAGCACCATAGGAAAAAACATACATGTATTATACAAATTACTGAATTTATACTGTAGTGTTTTAATAGGTAAAAAATAATCCAGTGAAGTATTATCTTTTACTTCAATGAAATTGGGTATTTTCATTAAATTTATTGGTGTGACATTGGTTAATAAAATTATATAGATTTCAAAAGCACAATTCTATGACACATCATCTGTATATTGCATCGTGTGCCCACTGCCCAAACTCATCTGTCACCACATATTTGACCAACTTTACTCTTAATTAGCATCCTACCCCCTTCCCTCTGGTAACCACCATACTGTTGTCGGTGTCTATGAGTTTTTGTTTGTTTTTCTTGTTTGTTCATTGTTGCTTTCAGTTTTATATGTCACATGAGTGAAATCATACAGTTCTTGACTTTTTCTGACTTATTTTGCTTACCATGATATTCAGTGAAGTATTATCTTGATGGCAATGCAAGTCAAACTGTCCTAACCTGCATGATCAAATTTTATTTTGAGATTTCCAAAAGAAAAAGTGACATTTTTTAAGTTAAGAATGACATTTCAGTCCATTCTAATTTGTATATTATATAAATTTTCATAGTTAATAATAATAAATTTCATTCATCTTCAGCAATTCTAAGTGGACCTTATCAAAAATAACCCTTTTGCCACTGTGTGCTGCCACTCTGAACTGCAGTATCACTTTTTATTTTAAATTTTGAGAACAACAAGAGGTAATTTCTCCAAATAGTATTCCTATTGATCAACAGTATCTGTTACAGATACCTATACAACATGACAGATAAAATAGCTTCAGATATAATACTTTTTAAATTAAAAAGCAGCATGTAGAAAGAATGTAACTATAGTGGCCGGTGGGCCAATAGCTAACATGGGTAGGAGTCCAGTAATTCCAGAAGACAGATGACCCTGAACTTAAAAGAACTTTACATCAAACTTTCATATATTCACAGTGCAAAATGCAGTCAGCATCTTCTCGCTATTAGTCACAGTATAACTTTGACTATGAAGTTACCTAGCATGATGGAAAATGCTATGAAATAATGATCCTATCTATCTTGAGTAACTAGATTAAACAAATGGTGAGGATTGTACAACAGCGTCTTCCCTGTACTTTCCATCATGGTAAATTTTGTTAGGAGCTAATAAGCTTCTTTTTAAAAAATAGTAATAATAAGCACTCAAAACAAAACACTGAACCTGGATCTGATCAATCCTCCAGACTGCACTAACAATTTATAGAAAACACAGAGGAAAATGTCAACTAATACCACAACGTGCAATCTGCAAAATCCAAACTCTGTGAAACTAAATAAAGCAACTTAGTTTCTTAAACAAGAGAAATTACAGATTAACAGACTTTTGAGACCTCAACCAATTTTACATCATGTCGATCTCATTAGGTTTTTGAGTCATACAAACTAAATTAAAAAAATGAAGGTATTTACAAGAAATCAGAACACCAGGTATTTGCTGATATTAAGAAATACATTTAGACAAATGTATTTAAAAAGTAAATAAATTAATTAAAAAAAAAAGAAAAGAAATACATTAACTATTTTTAGGTTAATCCATCTTTTAGAGATGAACACTGTAACATTTATGGGATTTGCTTCAAAATAATATAAGAGGGGGATATGCTTTCAACACTTCTCCACTAAGTATGATGCCTGCTCCATCCTTTTCTGTAGATATTTTCTATCAGGTTAATGATGCACCCTTCTATTTCTAGTCAAGTTTACATCACATATGGGTGTTGAATTTTATGAACTGTTTTTTAGACATCTACTAAGATTATCTCATTTCTCCATTAAATTATTAATGTGATGAATCACATTATTAGATTTACTAAAGTTAAACCAACCATACATCACTGGAATAAACCCAACTTGGTTATGATAGCTTAACGTTTGGGATAGTTAAATCTGCAGTACTGGATAGCTGGATTTGAAGAGCCAAAACCTTAGTATTTCACAAACATGTTTGTGAGTTAGATGGGCCTGTACTTTTCTTTTACTTTTCTTTTCAGATGGTATACTCTCAAATAGTTTATGAGGAGACTGAACTTAATATACATTAAATGTTTACTTTTACAAATCATGTGTAGAAATCAACTAGGCCTGGTGTTTTCTTGGTAAGAAAATTCGAAACTCCTGATCCAGTTTCTTTAATGTTCATTTGCCTGGTCAGGTTTTCCATTTGAAGGCCAGGACTTTAACAATGGCCTACAAGGCGCTCTACATATTCTCCTTTCCCCAGCCATCTTTATCCCACCTTTTCTATGACCTCATCTCCTACCATCTGTCCCCTTGAGCACCTGCTTCCAAACTCCTTGCAGTTCCTTCAAATGCTCCAGTCTCGGGGCCACTGCAATCACTGCTTTCTCGCCTGGAACACGACGCACTCCTACTGCCACATGGCCCAATCCCTTCCTTCTCTCAGGTCTCCTCTCAAATGTCATCCTTTCAGAGTCCTCCCCTGACCACACTACATAAAATTGTAAATACCATCCCCATTGTCACCATTTTAGTTTTCCTATAATTTCCTTCCTATACTTGGAACCACCAAATATTCTATACTAATTTGATTATGTATTTGTATTCTAACTTAGGGAGAGTAAAAAAAAAGTTCCATAAGAGCAAATACTTTGTCAACATGGTTCGCTCATATAACCCCAGTGCCTGGTACTGAGTAGACAACCAAAAAAAACAAAAAAACAGCAACAACAAAAAAAAACACCCTTATTGAGTAAATTAATGCTTAATGGTAGAGTGTTAATGAAATTAAAAATTCAGTGAGTCAATGATATGACTATACAAGGAAATGATCCTTTTACTAATGATGAGAACTGAAAAACTACTTCTAAACTTCACAATTTTAAGACACTGACACATCAGAAAAAATCCACAGGAGATTATCTATGGCATTAATGGAATATGTCACTTTTCTTAAGGGGAGGCAACATGATATAATGGAAATATCATCAAAGTTTAAGTTTACATCCTGACCCTGCAACTAGTTCTATGACCCTGGGCCAATGCCTCTCTGTTTCCTTATTATATTAAACAACAGTAGTGCCACATACTTTGCAAGATCTCTGAAAGGATTAAGACACTAACTAAGATATCTAGCATGTGTTTAATCCCAATGAAACACAATGAAAACAGTAAAGCAGTTTGTCCCAGGTCATAAAGCCACTAAGAGGCAAAGTCCAGACTTGAACCAAGACCTCTTACCCAAAGTCCATACCCTTCCCACTACCCTATACTATCGTTTAGTAGAGTCCATTTCATACCAACATACTCCAGTGGGTAAAGTTAACTCAGTTTTCCATGTCAAAACTTAGGTACCCCTGAGATCCTTTCAGGGAGTCTGCAAGATCTCATATACATAGTTTTTTAGGAGCTATATGACAAGTGATATCAAAACAGATTGAATGCAAAAGCTGGTATGTAATTCCAGCCATCTCCTATTAAGCTAAACATTAAAGGCATTTGCAAATGTAAAAAATACCATTCGTACTAAATTTTTTTCAGATACATTACTTTTCACAAAATGTTACTACATTAAGATGTAATGGGCTTATTATTTCTATTTTAAAATAAAATAATAATTACTATTACATTTTAGTTCCATTTCAAATACAATAAATATCAATAGATAAAATCCACATTAACAAAAGCTATTTGGGGTCTTGAGACCAAAAAGATTGAGAACCACTGGCTTAGGATATATCCAATCTCTTACTAGACTTAATTCCACAAAAATGTCTAAAATCCAAAATAAAACTTAAAAATGTAAGAACATATTAATTAATTAAAAAACTGTGTGGGGAAGGTTGGGAGGAAGTAAGGAAACAACAAGGTGTTACAGAAATAACAAAGCTTTTATATTCAGAAGACCTGGGTTCAAATCTTAGCTCCATTGCTTTACTAAATATTTCCCTAAATATATATGTCACTGAACTTCAATCTGCTTCTCCATTAAACTATAATTTTGGCAACTGCCCTACCTTCTAAGGTTATTAGGAACACAAACTAAGATAATGAATGTGAAAGCTCTCTATCAACTATAAAAACACTATGTAAATGCAAACATAAAATTACAGCTATTGTTAAATATTACCTCTGTGGCAGACAGATGGACACTTATGGTTTCTACATCCTAAAGTCCGTCCACAGTTTTGATCACAAGGTGTACAGTTTCCAGGACAACACTGAAGAGAAGGAATATATAAAGAACAGACAATCTGAAAACCATGTGTAATATAAATGTCATTACTAGTTATCCACAGAACTTATGGAAAGCAAAAGATACTGTACTTCTTTTCAATATAAGAATAAAAGTATTCAAAAGTTTCAACATTCTTCTGATATGTAGATTTACTATATTAAGAATTAAGGTTAAATAGACAATGTCCTAATTTAATGAAATCAAGCTAAATTTTCTTGCATTTAAGCTAATTATTCTGTAACTTAAAACATTCCCATAAGAGAATTTCATTTCTACTACTTTATGCAGAGATTGACAACATTAACCAAAGTAACAGACCTGGTCAAACTCTATATTCAGGCAAACAATTAGTCTGGTTATTTTAAAAATATAATTAAAATAAAACCAGTTAAATGTATAAATTAATTTAGCAGTTATTTTTAAACCATGTATTCAGCGACTAACTAAAGAAGGAATGCAGAGGTGAGCTTTTTGTTTCTAACTTTACTTTGTAACATCCCTGATTTCCAATCAGTTTGTAAGAAATACCGCTGTCTATGACCTGTCCCAATTTTCATTCATAAACAAAGGCAACTACTAACAGACTCTCTTGCCATTCTAATTCCTTGACTTTTCACATTATCCAAATTTTGGAAAGAAAATAGAGACTACAGCTGTCTTAAAGAAACTTAGGGTTTTAACCTAATTTACGAACAAGTTTCAGTATACAAAAATAGTTCAAAACAAAATATACTTTATTGAAAAGCAACTAAAAGTCAAAATAGTTCACTCAACTAGACAAATATTTACTAAGACTACATGCCTATCGTTTGCTAGTGGCTGCCTGGGAAAAGAAGGTTGTGTGGTCCATGACTTGAATAAGACTTTACACACTTTTGTTTCTGACCATGGTGGAGTAGGCAGCAGCCAGATTTACTCTCCTGCCTTAAACAACTGTAAAATCAGACAAAATATATGTATGCAGCAAGAGTTTTCAGATATTTGACAATGAGGCAGCACAGGACATCAATTCCTAAGAAAAGAGAAACAAAGTGAGTCCTGTAATAGCTCCAGCTTAGACCTGGAGGTTTCCAGGCTGCAGCACAAGGAGAAAGATCACAAGCAGAGAGACTGGTGGCCCCACCAAGTGAGTAGACAAAATTCCTAGTTCAGAGGCCAGTGTGGCTACAATTTGTAGGTAAGTGGTGGCAATACAGAGAAAGCCCTGGAGAATTCCAAAAGGGATTCCTTAAGTTTTTGGCCAAATACCTGTCCATACATGTGTGAATGGAAACTACCCAAAACATGAGAAAGAACCACCGGAAGAAGAACAATTTCCAAAGATTATTCAAGTCAGGGAATAGTCTTTGTTCTGTGTGGTTAGAATAGAGGAACCTCCTACTACATGGGAATCACAGAGAGTATTTCAAATAATCACTGCCTCGGTAGTGGTACCAACTTATGCCTAGATAAAAGGGTAGTCTGGGCACACCTAGGACCAAATGGTTTCTAGTAACTTAACTTTGACCCAGAACAAAGCTTAAGAATATTTAAAGGGATACAAAAACAAAACAAAACAAAAACCCAGCACCCAAAAATGTAAAGTTCCCAGTGTCTGGAAACCAATCAAAAATTACCCAGCAGGCAAAAAAACAGGAAGATATAGCCCAAAAGGAGAAGAAAAATCTTTCAACAGAAATAGATCCAGAAATGACAAATGATAACAATTATTAAACAAGGACATGAAAACAGGCATTATATAAATACAGTCCCTATATTCACGAAGATGGGGTTAGGAGCATGCTAAGGGCAGACATGGAAGATACAGAAAAGACTCAAACCCAACTCTCAGAAATGAAAAATATAATGTCTGAGAAGAATAAACACAGGATGTGATAAACAAAAAAAGTGGATTAGACAAAGCAGATGAAAATTAATGAATTTGAAGACCAAGCTATATAAACTAAAATGCAGAAATTTCAAAAAACTAAATAATAAGGGGAAAAAGATGGCGGAGGAGTGAAAGGGAGTCACGCTGACCTCCTCCCAAAACCAAACTGGAATTGCAACTAAATAATGGAGTAATCACCTGGAAAGCAGTGGAGCGATAGTGGGAGAGGAGCCTTGGTGCCGCGGACAGTGGATTCGACTCTCACACATCCCAACGGGTGAGAATTGCGGTGGAGGCTCGAGAGGGTGGTCTGGGTGCGCACGGGCACTGGCACCAGAGGGACATTGAAACGGCCAGTTAGCGTCCCCCGAGAAGAACGGGGTCTGAATCATAAACAGGAACCCCTAAACTACAGCAGCTAAAGCCGAGAAAATACAGACAAAATGCAACCCCAAAAAGCTTAGGGGCGCTCTCTGCCAGAGACAGGTGGCTGGGGATGCAAAAAGACATTTAAAGGGCAAATGCAAAAGTTGCAGCGGCAGCCACCCTCCTTGATCGCTGGGTACAGGAGGCAGCAGGGTGGGCTGGTGCCTGGGAAATGACTGGTGAGGAAAACTTTGTGAAGAGAACTGAGACTGCGGCCGGTGGAGCCTGGGTGATAACGCACTTCCCACTCTCCAGCTACCATCTCGCTCAGGCATAAGGGAATCAATTAACCTGCCTTTTGTGCGCTCCGCACACAGCTTGTACGCCTGTGAGCTACGGGGCTGAGTGCAGACTGGCTAGGAGAGCCTTGAGGAGAGACTGGAGACGGAGGCATTGGGGAAAGAACGGGAGGAGGAACCGGGGAGTCCCGACTCCCTCCCCGTTCGGTAGTCTCCATTGTGGGCTGGAAAGGCGCGACCCCAAAGAGGCAGACGTGGGGCGCGCATGAACCAGACTGCCTGCAATTGAAACGCAGTCCGCACAGGGGTTGGATCCTCGGCCGAAGGGGTCACAGAATTGCCCAGAGGCCCCTAAGGGGAGACTAGAAACGGAGGCACTGGGGAAAGAACGGGAGGAGGAACCAGGGAGTCCCGACTCCTTCTCCTTGCCGAAGTCTCCATTGTGCGGGAAGAGGCCACACCCCCAAAGAGCCAAAAGCCGAAAAGCAAACATAGAAACCCCCAAAACACCCAGAGCAGGCGCGCACACTTGCGCCGCGTGACTGGTGAGGGTTGGCGAGCGTGTGTGTGACCCACGCAGGCTGGCGAACGCTTGCACCTGCCGGCAAGGCCTCACACAGACTGGCACCCATACGGCCTGCGAGGGATTGCACAGAGGGCCAAGGGCAGGCGTAAATTGACCTACCCGCCGCGATTGCGGAGCAGCCCACAAAATAAGTAGAGCTGCCCAGAGTCCCTGGAGGAGAGACCAGAAACAGGATTAACCGGAGAGTCCTAGAGCTGATTTCCTCCCATTTCCGTAGTCCCCATTTGGCGAGGGCAAGCAACGCACCCAAAGAGCCAAAAGCGGGGAAAACACACAATAGAAGACCCTAAACTGACCAGTGCCGCGAAGCTCGCGTGCCAGGGAGGCCAGATGAGCACGGGAGGTCGCGAATAAGCCCCCTGGTCTGGGGCAAGCACATGCGAGCCCAGGCAGGTGGGGGACCCTGTCGCGCTGGGAACGCGCTCAAGGAGCTCTCGTGAGAGTGCAGAGAGATCCCAAAAAATAGCCCAGCCCTGACCAAAGGGGTCAGAGAGCTGCTCCAAGCAGGAGTCAGACACAGGCATTAGACTCCTGAAAGGCTCAAACAAACAACCCAAGGCCCTATAGGGTCAACAACTGACATCATCAGAGGCAAGCCCAGAAAGAAAAGTAAAGGACAAAAATACTTAACAGACTCTCACAAAAATGGGAAGAAAAAGAAGTTCTCCCCAAATGAGTGGAAAAGGGGACTCCCCACAGAGAGAGCTAAATGAAATAGAGGCAAGGGAACTCTCAGATATGGAATTTAAAACAATGGTTCTAAGGAAGCTCAATGAGCTCAGCCAGCTCAAAGATAACTATGAGAAACTGCAGAGAAACTATCAGGATCTTACAGCAAACTATATCAGCCTGGAAAAGGACATAGAAACTATCAAGAAGACACAAGAGGATATGAAGAATACCATTTCTGAATTGAAGAACACAGTAGAAGGAATCCAAAGCAGGCTGGATGAAGCTGAGGGTCGAATCAGTGAGATGGAGGACAAGGTAGAAAAAAGCTCCCAGAAAGAACAAGAAATGGAAAAACGGCTCAAAAAGAATGAAGAAGCATTTAGGGAAATGCAGGACAACCTGAAACGCAATAATATCCGTATAATAGGGATACCAGAAGGAGAAGAAGAGGAGCAAGGCATAGAGAACCTCCTCGAAAAAGTAATGATGGAAAATTTCCCCAATTTGAGGAGAGAAAGGCTCTCATGGATCCAGGAGGCACAGAGGACCCCACTCAAGAAGGACCCAAGGAGGTCCACTCCAAGACACATCATCATTAAAATGGCAAATGTCAAAGACAAAGAGAGAATCCTCAAGGCAGCAAGGGAGAAGGAGAAAGTAACATACAAGGGGGCCCCGATACGCCTAGGAGCTGACTTCTCAACAGAAACACTACAAGCCAGAAGGGAATGGCAACAAATATTCCAAGCCATGAAAAGCAAGGGCCTACAGCCAAGGCTGCTCTACCCAGCTAGGCTCTCCATTAAAATAGAAGAAGAAATACGGAGTTTCCCAGACAAAAGAAAGCTAAAAGAATACATCTCTACCAAACCAGCACTCCAAGATATGCTAAGGGGACTGGTTTAAGCAGATGAAGGAAAAGAATGAGACAGAGAGGAACACAAGTACAAAGAGAAAAGATGAGTAAGTTTCTATCAGTAATATCTCTCAATGTGAATGGACTAAATGCCCCAATCAAAAGACACAGGGTAGCTGAATGGATAAGAAAACATGACCCACACATATGCTGCCTACAAGAGACCCACCTCAGAGCAAAAGACCTACACAGATTGAAAGTAAAGGGATGGAAAATAATATTCCAAGCAAATGGACATGAAAAAAAGGCTGGCGTTGCCATATTTGTATCAGAC